GTGATGTAGGTGATGACGCGATGATTCGCACTAGAAAATTGCTGTCGTTTGTGTCTATGCTTAGTTACAACGTACTAATTTATCTTACTCGGCCTAGCATTGGTGAACCACTGCAAATGCCACAGTATCCCGAATAGGCTGGGCGGCATATCTAGGTAGGCTTCTCTCAGGATACTGCAACCTCAAGTGCCAGACTGACTCCCAAGGAGCATATCGCAGGATGCATAGCTGGTGAAAAGAAACGTAAGTATAATGGGGGTTAAAATCCTTCCTAAAAAGTTACGAAGAGGTAGCTGTAAGACAATTGGCACTAAACCTGACATATCATGCCAATGCGAACACTTGTGTCCAATACTTGTTCTGAATTCCAAATCCAACGATATGTATTCCCCAAGCATGTTCCGGTGATGTCCAGGGCTGTTTATCCATCCCTGAACCACGCTCCTTACATCAGGCTGGTTCCAAGCGACGTTTTCTGCGCACTCCCGGATATTGGGAACCCTTCGCTGCATACGGGTCATCAGCGGGCCTGAGCTGTCATTGTGAGTCATTGCATTTGTATGTGCTTGGTAGTTTGAGTGCTCCTGGGCGGAATGACAGAGGCGGATATCGAGGCTGAGGGGACGGCGGTGGTATCTTGCGCGCTCGGCATTGACAAGGTTGAGCATTTCAATGTGCTACTGCTGGAAGGACATGATTGAAGACCTGGCTGTAGATTTTACTGAGAAGTGTGTAAAAATCATATGGAACGACAAACTGTCGGTAATGGAGGTAGCTGGTCCCAAGTGTTGTTTTATAGGCGATTTCTAGTAGGGGACACTCATAACAAAGTAGCTGGCAAGAAGTAGCAAGTGATAAGTGACAAGTGGCAAGTTGGGGAATGGGTCACCTGCACTCAGATGTCAAATATGCATACTGGCAAGGTGGATCCAGTCAATAGCTTGTGCATTGAGCTGTCTGGATATGGCAATCTGCAGATTTCTAGGCAGCCCAGGCCCATTTTCTTGGCAAGAATATATTCCAATGGCCACGTATCAAAATGCTACTTGTTCCAGTATCTGCGTCGAACCTTGTCTGGCTTTACCTCCTCCGGCACAACCACATAGTCGTATGCACCACAGGCAGCTATTGCACCAATAAACGGACCCACCAGCGGCACATAAAAGTAATACCCATGTACCCTGAGCACGTCTGTCCAGCCAGCCGCCAGGATAAATAGGCGCGGTCCCAGGTCTCGCGCAGGATTCAGCCCTACCGCTGCTATGTGTTGAGTTCCCGCAAGAATTATCGCTATAAGAAATAGCGCAACAAGCAAGGCGCCTGTTGTTGCACTCAAAGTCATTCGCTTGTCTGCTATGAAGAAAATAAAATACATCAGACAGAACGTAAAGGCAACCTCGTTGAAAAGCAAGTTGGCATTGGTATATACGCCTTCAACAGCTGGCTGAACAACAAATATTCCGGCGGTTGCTTTTGGCCCCAGACTCTGTCTATGTCCACCGTCATACATGTCCCAGATTGGGAAATAGAATATCCAAGTGAAGAAAGCTGCGACAAACCCGCCCAATATTTGTGCAAAGACCATTCCTGGAACACGCCTCCAGGGATAGTGTCCAAATACGGCCAGACCGACTGTCAGCGCTGGGTTTAGATGGGCACCCGACACACCGACAGACGATACGATACCCCCGACGAGAGCACCACCCCAGCCTAGCGCTGTTGTCAGGTCGCGGGAGCTTGTGTTTTCAAGCTGCCTGAACACCACTTGTGCATTTATGGAAAGACCAACCATCATGAAGATGGACACTGACAGGAACTCGGCCACCTCCGCGTTATAGGTATAAAGGAACCGCCGAAACCAATTTCTTGGACAAGTCATTGCCTCAAGCTCATCGCTCTCTTCCTTGCAGATGTGTAACTCCGTGCCCGTAATCCCAGCCTCTTCCAAACCAAGCGAATCTACCGTCATAGCCGGCCTTGCTCTATTATTGAGAGTCATGTTCTTCAAGTATGGATATTCGTCAAAGGTGAAAGAAGGGGGTTGAAGATATGAAGTGGCCTAAGGTAGTATTCAAAAGGGGAGACTAACGTGTTGTCGCTAGACAGGGCGGCAGCCGCAAAAGGGCTTTTTGTATGCAATGCCCTCCATATAACCATTTTTGTGGCGGCAGTTGAAGTGATAGAATGTTTTTGCAGCACGGGTTTGCTCCATGATGATTTTAGTGCCACCTGTTTCGTGCAAAAGCTGTAGGTGCATCTCTACAGCCATATACCGTTGGATAAGAAAATGCAAGGATGTGCCTCGGTGCATCTTAGCACAATAGGCGCTTGGAATGCATGCGTACTTGCTCCCGGGGTAAAATCTGTGGGTGGATTTTTTGGTGCTACGGTCTGAACAGCAGTCCTGGAACAATGTCGCCAATGGCCTGCAGCATATTCCGCGGCTGATATTGCCAGGCAGTCATACTGCCAACACGGAGAAACGGTAGGTCTATCCTGGCACTATGCTGATCACTTTATTATGCGAACAATTTCGCGGGTATAAGGAGAAAAAGAATCATTTGTTCCAGTACACCTTGCGGATGCTCTTCGGCTTGTCCTCCTCAGAGACAATCAGGTAGTCATAGACACCGCGGGCTGCTATGCCACCCACAAAGGGAGCAATGAGAGGAACGAAGAAGAAGTGGTTGTGCACTTTGAAAATATCGCGGTAGCCTGCAATGAAAATGAAGACGCGGGGCCCAAAGTCGCGCGCCGGGTTCAGTGCAGTGTCTGCCACATACTGGTCGCCAGCCATGACAATTGCGGTGACGAATAAACCGATAAGCAGGGCTGCCGTAGTCGCACTGAGCGTCATCCGCTTGTCGATGACAAAATAGATAAAGAACAAAAGAATAAACGTCATCAGAGCCTCGTTAAAGAACAGGTTCGCATTGGTGTACACTCCTTCCACGCTTGGCTGAACGATAAATGCAAGCGCAGTCCCTTGCGGACCAAGGCTGCGGCGATGGCCGCCGTCAAAGAGGTCCCATGCCGGAAAGTAGTACAGCCAGTTCAGAAATGCCCCAAAGAAACAGCCCAGGAACTGGGCAACGATCATGGTTGGCACTCGTCTCCATGGAAAATGGCCAAACACAGCTAGGCTGACCGTCATCGCGGGGTTAATATGCGAACCCGACGATGCACATGACATCACAACGGCACCGATTACAGCGCAGCCCCACCCCAAGCCCATGCTAAGATCGTGCGTGCTGGTGCTGTCAGGCTGTCTGAGAATGATCTGAGTGTCAATAGCCAATCCCAAGAAGATGAATATAGCAAGGGCAAAAAACTCTGCAACCTCAGCGTTGAACACGTAGAGGAAGCGCTTGAATATGTTTGTTGGCATTGGGTACATGTTGGACTCCTCCTCGCCAACAGCCAGCTTGGGTGGACCCTCACTGGTAAGGCCAGACTTGCCCGACTCGATGGAACCTAGAGGCAGCGATGAGTGCTTGTTCTCGCCTGTTGACATCGGTAGAATCGATATTTGCAATAATGTTCGGGATGTGCACTGGCGTTGGAGATATCAGTCGGACCTCGGGTTACACTGTAGTACTGTGATAATGTCGAGCGATGAATTATGCGCGATAGAGTGAACGGTATATATGTGGCTTATGAGTATAGTGAGTGTGGACGGGTGGCACCATTACTGTATTTATACCCGTCTACACCCAGTGCTATTTGGCAAATGTGCACGTTTACTCATACCAAGAGCCTGTTGCCCTAAGAATCTCAATCACAGAACAGGACGAATCACCGGCTTTGTAGAGCCACCTTTGATGCTTCTGTGCTAAGAGGCGCGCCCCTCAGCCCTACGATTTGATATACATCCGCCAAAGCCGCCGCTTGCACAAGTGAAGCAACAATATATATATGTGGGCATTATTTGCCACCACATGAGCTCTCACGCTCGTGCGTTTTTGTTTGCCGCTGGATGAAAGCAGGACGAGCGCACAGGCCAGCAGATCCCCTCTCTCCTTTGAGCCTCCAATTTCCCATTGTAGATGGAACTATGAAAGTTGCCAGCGTTATTTACAAGCAAATAGAATTCGCTGTCATATTTCCTCGGCTGTCTCTTGGCGAGGTGGGGTGGTGAAGCTCGTGAATGACTTGTTTTCGGCCATCGTGACACATTGTTCTTTAGGCGGATCCTGCTGCCACGACAATGCGCCCCTTCACCTTTGCCTCCCTCCCAAACACACCCCCAGCACCTGATCTGACCCTGCTGAGTGGAGAAAATGTGGAGGTATCTGACTCGGGTCTCGATGGGCAAGTGAGATGGGATAACCAAGTGGAGACAGAGACAATAAACGGTGGCTTTTTATTTCGCTGATGTATTAACCAGCTGCTATGTATGGAAGGCATTGGTTTAATTACACCAACTAATTAAATATATTGATTCCGTATCTTCCTGCAATCTACATAGACCAGTTGTGTAAACAAGACACCCATCATGGAACATATGCTCGCTTGAGCCAAAAATCAGAACTCGGCTACCATAGTGTATCAAGTAATGCAGATGACGTCTGGTATATGCTAGTGGAGGGTATTTTGATAGCATTCAAGTTACCCAGGACTGTCCTGCAAATTACATGTCCGGATTTGTTGATTCGGAGGTGGGAGAGTGGTGCTAGGCAATCCCTCATCAAACCGGTTTACACATGCACACTACCAAAATTAGCCTGTAGTCTACATCCTGCCTCGTTTCTCCGCCATTTCCCGTTCTTCTGGAAGGGTATCAATTGAATGCCAAGAAACGTTCTCTGAAACAAGGAACAGCTATTGCTACGCGAGCAGCTTCTCAAGAAAACCACCTCAATATTTTAATTAGCAGATTGCTGTTCCATTTATTGGCATAACAGTTTGAAAAGTACAGAAATGCGCGCTTAGTGCTGGCGCTTAAGTTTGCCCTTGGAGACCTCTGGCACCATCAGGTAGTCGTAGAGACCTTGGGCAGCAATACCACCGACAATCGGCGAGATGAGTGGGACATAGAAGTAGTAGTTGTAGACCTTGAACGTATCATGCCAGCCAGCCATCACAATGAACAGGCGGGGGCCAAAGTCGCGCGCCGAGTTGATCCCGATGGCGCTAACCTGGCTACCAGCCAACAAAATAGCAGTCAGCATTAGCCCAAGTAGGACCGGGGCAGTGGTAGCGGACATTGTCATGCGCTTGTCAGCAACGAAATGCACAGCAAACAGCATGCAGAATGTCATCATCGCCTCGTTGAAGAACAGGTTTGTGTTAGTATATATCCCCGACTTGGATGGCTGGATGACGAAGATCTCTGCTGTCGGTGCTTTGCCAACGCTCTGGCGATGGCCTGGGTTAACCAAGTCCCACATTGGGTAGTAATAGAGCCAGGTGAATAGAGCACCAATGAATGACCCTAGCGTCTGGGCGAATACCATGCTGGGGACGCGTTTCCACGGATAATGGCCGAATACAGCTTTGCCGATGGTGATAGCGGGATTGAGGTGAGCACCCGATGTGCCCGCGCCAATAGCCACAGCCAAGACAAGGGCGCAGCCCCATCCGAAGCATATAGTAATGTCCATGCTCCCCTCACTATGGGGCATCCGGAATATAGCCTGTGCCGTGATGCAGCATCCGATAAACACGAACACAAACATGGCGAAGAACTCCCCAACCTCTGCGTTGTAGTCATAGAGGAAACGCTTGAACCAGCTTGACGGGTACGGGATCTCTGGAGTGTCGAGGTCCTCTTCACGGAATAGATCCTGGTCGTGTAGGTTGGCTCCCTTGCTACCAGGTGCAGATACGCTGGTTGAAGACTGTGTTGACCGGAACGTACCGATCTGGACGGCGTGGTGAGCTACTTCTTCGCTAGGCATTTGCTAAAGTTAGAATAGTGGCAATGGGGTGTTACTTGGAGCCTTGAATTATGTTGGAATAGCTGAAACTGGCGGTTGCTAGCGAGGAATTCGGCTGCACCAAGAGTACCTACTTGATAGACTTTATATAGCAAAATGACTGGTGCCTTTGCTGTGTGCCTTTGCTTTCTGCGGTTGGCAGCTGTATGACTGCTTTTTCACCCTACTGTTTGCCTGTTGCCGATCTGGTCGAACATCGGCGCTGGTGATGCCCCCGAAAAGGCAACTGACAAAGCCCGAAGAAGTGAAATGTAGCCGGCACCACTGCAAAAAGAAGGATCAATAGAAGAAAAGGCAGCGGTACGGCAAATCCAAGTCATCTGCTCTGTACATTGATGGGAGCTGAGTAGATGTTAACAAAGAGAAGGAAAGCCATTCTGGCAGAGGGAAACGACCAGGGAGGAAAATCCTGCGAATAATCGACAAAGTATGTAAAGCAAGGTCAGTGTTACATCTACAATACCGCACAAACCGCCCTACCCATCCATATGCTTCCTTGCAACTCAGTGTATGACGATGATTGCTTGCCCTCCTTTCATGCAAGCTGCTGAAGATCTATGCCGAAAAGAGCATATGGAGGCACCGAGCAAAAAAAGCTGCGAATGGATAAAGCAAGCGACAGCAGTCTGATTATCTTGGTCGACAGCGGCCCCGGCAGGCGGAAAGGGGGAAGCAGCATGCTTCTGGCGGGCTGCCGAATGTTCGCACACAGAATACTTCGCACAATCATGAGGCGACACAAAGGGCGATCGCATACGGGGCTATCCCCTGTAGGAGTGTGCGCAGAAAGGTAACATAAAGGGGGAAATGTGGGCACGCTGCTAATCCGGCCAAGATAGAAGGCGCTTGGAGTAAATGGGTCACATGAGGAAGGATTTGCATATTCTTGTGCTGCTCCATGGAGTCCGGAGCTTACCAAGAAAATTATCTCCTCCGTCCTCCGTCTCATTATGATGGATCTCTTTCATCCGATGCTCTGCAAGTAGGATGTATCTTGAGATACTAGATACCTGGGTGTATATGTATCTGGGAACACGTCTCAAAAACAGGACACCTGCTATATATGACTTCCGGAGTAATGCAGCAACCCTAGACATAGCTCTGTTATAATGTCGGCGGATTACCAGTGGAAGCGGACACTGCAAATGCAACTGGAACTGCATAGTGCCCAGAAGCGTAAATATGGCTAGCTCGACTAATTGAGTAGGGAGAAAGGTGGAAATTAGTACAACTACATATAGGGATGGACCTGACGAACAGTCCAAAACGTGAATTCCGGTGGCTCCAAGGCCGATAGTTAGTCTGGTGACATAGTGTTAAGGACTTGTTAGGCTAGAGGTGATATACAGTGTGGCGGACTCCGCTAAATCTCATGATGTGCAGGACTGTGGTTTTAGTTTAGCACACTGCCTGGATGCAACTGCATTTATTAGGAAAACTGTTTTATTGCTGCTGCTTTCATTGTAGACGCTTGAATCTCTTGCTCTTAATTACCTCAGGCACCATCAGGTAATCAAAGAGGCCCTGAGCTGCAATACCGCCAACAATAGGAGAGGTGAGCGGCACATAGAAGTAGTAGTTGTAGACCTTGAAAGTATCGTGCCAGCCAGCCATTACAATAAACAGGCGGGGGCCAAAGTCACGCGCTGGATTAATTGTTATAATGCTGACCTGCGCACCGCCCAGTAAAATAGCAGACAACATAAAGCCCAGTATAAGTGATGCAGTAGTGATGCTAGCCGTCATGCGCTTGTCAGCAACGAAGTGCACAGCAAACAGCATGCAGAATGTCATCATCGCCTCGTTGAAGAACAGGTTTGCGTTGTGATAGATACCAGGCTTCAGCGGCTGGCTTACGAAGATCACTGCTGTCGGTGCTGTACCAACGCTCTGGCGATGGCCTGGGTTAACCAAGTCCCACATTGGGTAGTAATAGAGCCAGGTGAATAGAGCACCAATGAATGACCCTAGTGTCTGGGCGAATACCATGCTGGGGACGCGCTTCCACGGATAATGACCGAACACAGCTTTACTGATAGTGATAGCGGGATTGAGGTGAGACCCTGACGTACCAGCACTGATCACCACAGCCATGATCAGTGAACAGCCCCACCCGTAGCTTACAGACAGATCCATGCTTCCCTCACTATGAGGTATCCGGAAAACAACCTGTGCCGTGATGCAGCATCCGATAAACACGAACACAAACATGGCAAAGAACTCGCCAACCTCTGCGTTGTAGTCATAGAGGAAACGCTTGAACCAGCTTGACGGGTACGGGATCTCTGGAGCATCAAGGCCGTCTACACGAAACAGATCCTGATCATGTACCACCAGCCCTTTATGGTCGTTGGATACGGCATTGGGTATAGTTTCGGCTGAGTGGAAGGTGCCAATTTGTATGGAGTGTGGTGCTGCTTCGTTAGCCATTGCAAGTGGTAAAATAGGGCAGAGTGAGCGCAGAAACAATATTGTAGCATTGAGAGCGAGAAGCAGGTACGAATACTATGCTAGGCAAATGCCTCTTATATAGCACTTTGCCTGGAACATTCCATACGCTCATGTTTTTACATTCGATCGGGTGGATTCCAGAATTCTGCATTTTCATTAGGACAGACCAATTGGCTGCTTGGTTCTAGAGAGGTCTTACCAGTGGCAGCAGTAGTTTTTTATGCCAAAAAGGACCACAGGCACGAAGTGGAAAACATGGGGTAACTCTTTTTGAAATACGCCAGCAAGCCCGTGGATGATTTGCCAGCCCAAAATACGGCTGGTGATGTCATTGCTTAGATGTTCTCACCAAAAGATGCAAATGATTGTTTTTAATCTCTGACTGCTTTTCACCTACATATACGCCCTCAGCTGCATATATCAACAGCCCCCAAACAACAAACCATGGGCCGACGTCCGCTAAATATTTGCATGGTATCGGACTTTTTCTACCCGAACATGGCGGAGTAGAAAGCCACCTGTACAATAACTCGCAGTGTCTGATACACGTGGGCACAAAGTAGTCATAGTGACGCACTCATACGGGAAGCGGCGCGGGGTGCGGTATCTGGCTGTGGGCTCAAGGTGTACTATCTTCCAGCATTTGTAGTGTATAGAATGCGTCGCTGCCAACGTTCTTTTGCACGTTCCCGATATTCCGGCAGATATTCATCGCGAGCAAATCGACATTGTGCACGGACACCAGGCGTTCTCGGCATTCTGCCAGGAGGCGATTCTGCATGCGCGATCGATGGGGCTGAAGACTGTGTTCACCGACCACTCGTTGCTGGGGTTTGCCGATGCATCGGGATTCTGTTGAACAAGCTGCTCAAGTTCACACTGTCGGACATACACCATGCAATCTGCGTGTCGCACACAAGCAAGGAGAACACGGTGCTGCGTGCTGCGCTGGATCCGCAACAGGTCAGCGTGATCCCGAATGCAATCATTGCCGAGCAGTTTGAGCCCGACCCCGATGCACGCGACCCGCAGTGGATTACGATTGTTGTGCTGAGCCGGCTCGTGTACCGCAAGGGCATTGATCTGCTGGTTGCAGCGTGCCGAGGATATGTCAGATGTACCCGCACGTTCGGTTCATTATTGGAGGCGATGGCCCGAAAAGAATAGATCTGGAGCAGATGCGCGAGCGGTACATGTTGCAGGACCGCGTCGAGCTGCTGGGATCGGTGCAGGCGGTCGATGTGCGCAGCGTGCTGGTGCGGAGACATATTCCTGAACACCAGTTTGACAGAGGCGTTTTGTATTGCAATCGTCGAGGCGGCATCCTGCGGGCTGCTGGTGGTCAGCACCAGGGTGGGCGGCGTGCCCGAGGTGCTGCCGCGGCACATGATCACATTTGCAATCCCTGAGGAGGACGAAATCGTCGAGGCCCTGATGCACGCAATCGACCGCGTCGACGACCGGCCAAACCACCCAGAGCTGTCTCCACGGCGGTTCCACGCCCAGGTCAAAAAAATGTACTCGTGGTACGATGTTGCTGAGCGCACCGAGAAGGTGTACTACCAGATCGCCGATATGCCTGAGCTGCCGCTGATTGAGCGGTTCCGCAGATACTACGGGTGCGGGCTGGTTGCGGGCAAGCTGTTCTGTCTGGTGGCAGCGGGATTTCTTGATTGGCGTCGTGCTGCAGTGGCTGTGGCCCAGAGAGAACATTGAGGTTGCCCGGCCGTTCCCGCAGGAGACATACCATGCGCTGGTCAAGAAGAACCGCCACATGGCCAATGGCGAGCTGGGCGCTGCATGAATCACTCCCCCAAGCCCTCGCACAAAGCGAAGCGCTTTATTCGCTCTAGCCTGCACTTTTTCAATTCAGCTCCACACTTTGCTTTCTCCTCAATTCAACCTCCTTTTGTTTGGCTTTTTGTATTCTTATTCTTTCGGCCCATCCTGTATAGAAATTCATAATGTACTGGCGAATTAACTGCACGGAGCATCTCTCGCTGGACCTGACAGTAGACCCAAAGCAGCCACGCTCACAATCACGTCCTTCGCTAGACCAGCAGCAGCAAACATCGCCTCGTCACGGTTTGCCAGGCCACGCAGCGCAACATACAGTACCGGCACCGGTGCATCGCTCGACACACACCACGGATTGGGACCAGGTATTCGCCGCTGGAAGTCTCCCAGACAGTCCAGCGGTTCGTAGCCTCAGCCGACCGCAAA